TTCCTATAAGATAAGAGCTACTTATAGAAAATTCAAACACAGAAAGATCCGGTGAAGAAAAGAAAGCCCTCCCAGACCCTCCCACTGCTAATGCTCTGCTGCTCACCTTTCCAGATCCATCCCTACCTCGCCCCACAGCCACTACACTGGATGCCATGAGGCTGCCCTCCACATCGGCCCCGGCTGTCGCATCAGATATTGTGGGTTCTCACACAGCATCCTGCACCGAAAATGCTGTGTGGTAACTCCTGTCCTTAGGGTGGCGGACACGGCCCCCCCACCAGCAAGTAGAGTTCAGCTGTGACTGCACCAAAGGTCGCTGGAGGACAGGCCACAATTGAGCCCGATGGATGGATATTGAGGGTGTGTCTCTGAGAAACACAGAGGCACAAACTCCTTTGTGCTTGTGTGGCTGTCTCCCAAGGACCAGCTCTCCGAACAGAATCGACAGGCACCCTCATCATTAACATCGCCTCTTACTGTGGAACTCCCCTCCTGCAAGGTCACGCGGCCACCGGCAGCCAGCCAGCGCCCGGGCCGTCTGTCACGGCCAGCACGAGAGGCAATGAATAACGGCACCTTCTCTGTGTTTGCATTTCGTGGCTAACGAGGTTGGACATCACCAATGGTCCGGACGTCTCTGAAATGCTTGCCTGTCTCCTTCTGTCCATTTTCCTACCGGCGTGTTCGTCTTTATTCATGTGCAAGGGCTCTTGATAATGGGGGCATCAACGTTTATCATGTATCCTCAACACATCCCTCATCCTTTAATTCTGTTTGGGGCATTTGTGATCACATAGAACACTGCTTCCCAACCACTTCCACTCAAAGCAGATGCCCACAGCACGCCGGGAGGGATGGGCAGGCAGCCCAGCGGGAGGCTCGGGCCACCCCAGTCCTCTCGCCGCTTCCCTGGGGGCATCAAAATCTAGGGGCACCTGTAATCCGCTCACACCACTGTCCTTGGGAGGCTCTGGGATGGACGTATAAAGTGATTTGTTCAATGAGAAGCTGTGTATTGGAGCCGGAGTGGGGGAGTGGGAAGGTAAAGACTACGCTATTCTCCTCTGAATTATGAAAACTCTAGTGAAGGAAATAAAGCCACACCCCCTCCGACTGCTAGCATTCTGCTGCACACCTCTGCAGACCTCCCCTAACCCCACAGCTACGATATTTGGGTGCGTGCATGCATGGCCCTGGCCAGGCGGAGGGGGGGGGGCGGGGGGTGGTCGGCCCGTCCTCACCTGTCCTCCTCCGGGGCGTGCGGCTCGGGCCCCGGCAGGTGCTGGATGTGCGCCATCTCCTCGCCCTGCCGCTGCTTCCGCTTGTCCCGGATGCTCAGGCAGATGGAGAGCAGCAGCAGCATCACCCCGGCCCCCACCAGCACGTAGGCCACGGAGAACGTCTTGCTCTTGAGAATGCCGCTGCCTATCTCCGTCTTGTTGCCCTGGGCTGTGGGCTTCTCGCCGGAGCTAAACCCGGGCACCAGGTTCCACATGGCCATGATGACGCCCAGGACCAGCATCCCCAGGCCAATGGCGGTCAGCGCGTAGTGCGAGCCGTTGGCCTTGGACTGGGCCATCATGCCAGCGGGGGCAGGGCAGGGCCCAGGTCCAAGGAAGAAAATAAATTTAAAAAGCAGCCGCAGCCGCCGCCACCACCACAAAAACCCCTAAACGCACCGAACAGGGTCCCTAGCGCCGCACTAAGATAACAGCAGACCTCAGGCACACGCGAGGCATCGGTGGGGACAGCTGCGGCCAGAGCCTGAAGGGAAAGCAGAGGAGAGGAAGATCAGTTGCGATCCACCACGCCTTTGAGAGCGCGGCGGCTGTGCTCTGGAGGGAGTTGGGGAGCAGCACTGAGACAGAGCCAGGCTCCGGCTGGGCTGCCTTTGATGCATTCCAGATGTCTTACACCAGGGAGGCTGCCCCGCCTACGCCCACCCCAAAAGGAACAGCCAGGCCGTTGCCTGCAGGAGGCCAGAGAGGTCAGGCCTCCGGGTCGGTCCAACATCTTGTGGAATTAAATGAAGTGCAGCGAAGTCTCACGGGAGTACGCGAGACGTGTGGATGATGGCATGCACAAGCCGTGACCAATGACGATAGCAGGATCGCCTGGGCGACGGGCATCGGTCAATGGGACCCAGTGCAGCCAGCCCACTGGGGTCTTCCCCAGCCTCAGTGGCTTCCCATTTCCTGCCGCTGAAACTCCAGGCTCTTCAGAATGAGGGTCATGGCCCTAGCCAGTTTGGCTCAGTGGATAGAGCATCGGCCTGTGGACTACAGGGTCCTGGGTTTGATTCTGGCCAAGGGCACGTACCTC